ATGTGCAATTATTTCTCATTGTTTTGTTCCAGAAGGCACATTAGCATATCCTTGATCTCCTTCAGGTCCGCATTCCCAGGTTCTTTGTTCCTATTAACTTCACAAGAAAAGGTAGAACCATCATAGTAAGGGGTTGGGGGAAAATAAGAAATATAAGCACAACCATGAAGGTAACCATTTTTACCACCACACACATCACACACATTCCACAAATAAGATTGAGTTGGTGCACATAACTCGCTCTCAGGAACGTTTTGAAAATTTTGCCACGGGTGGTTTCCTTTACAATATGTATGGAGATCAAAGTAGAATTATCTACATCTAAATTTCCATAATTCTATGATGTCATGTTTCTCAAATCAACAGTTATAAAAAAAACCAAGAAAAAATAAAACAAAATAAAAGTTCAAACTTGAACCCTAGCAATATATACAGCTACAACTACACCGTTAGTTCCCCGGCAACGGCGCCAAAATTTGATCACGCCCAACTCTAGTCCTAAAAAGGATAAGCGGTCGCTGCAAATATAATCCGGTCTAAAAGTCCGGAGTCGAATCCCACAGAGAACTAAGGTTTAGCTGTATCTGTTTAATATCACCAAGAAGACAAGATCGAAAATAAATAAACAGTTGAAAACTAACTATGCTTGAATTGTAAACAATTAGAATAAAGGTCTAAGGCAATGGTTTCCCCCGTTGGTACTTTCCTTGGTTGTATATGTCCTATAACTATGATTTAGCTATCTCTAACAATCATGAAATCTCCATCTATCATAATTCTTTCTCAAGTAATTATAATAATCTACTAGACGCACTTTCTCAAGCTACGCTAGCTACTTGCACAATACGGTTCACTTAGATTGCACCCGGGGTTTCGTTATCTCTAATCCAACCCCTAAACCCTCGGTTATGACTCTCGTCTATACTCCGGGAGTGATGTTGTTCAAACAACTACCTAAATATGCACTCTCTCTCAAGCAGATACATAATAAATAGGAACGGCTAATTGAGGATCCTTTCAATTAACCACAATCAAAACATAGAAGAACAATTAGAGATTAACAACCAAATATAATTATATTGATAAAACAACCAAGTTATTCCCAACGGGTTCCACCCAAAACCTTAGATTAAGGTTTTTAGCTACTCATGACAATGGGTAAATCAAATACTAAAAGATTCATAATCATGAATTGCAAGAAAATAAAGAAGAAAAGAAATAAAGATATTTTAGGTGATCTCTCACAATTATTTTTCTTTCCAAAGTACTCTCTAATAATGTTTTATGCCTCCTTTGGGCGAGTTCTAGTGTTTAAATAGGGTTTTGGGCTAAGAATTCCGAAATTTGCACTTCAGTCCCTTAAGTTCCCGTTGCCTGCCGCGGTCCTACCGCGCCCACGCTGGGACCGCGGCCAAACGACCTCTCTGAATCTCCTCTGACAGCTCACCGCGGTCCTACCGCACCCACGCTGGGACCGCGGCAGTTCACCTCCAGGCCTCGTTTGTGTATTTCAAATGGTTCACTCAGTGACTTTGATGCGATTGGCTTCTTTTTCTTCCATAAATGATACAAAACCACTTCATAGCCTTCTTCTAATGTATGTAACCTGAAAAACATGAAAAGCACTAATAACAATATTTTGCTATCACTTTTACAATAAAAACTCTACAAGAAAGTGGTTCTTTTGGGGCTTAATCATAGTTCAATTCACCTATTATCAACTTGTCGTTGCAGTGACTGTACATAATTTATAATTTCGTCAAGCACTTTTAAAAATAATATCAGAAAGTGTCAACTAGATAGGGCCTCTGTTTGCTGAATTCAATTTTTGTTTCTGTTGGAAGTTTCTACCCAGTTTTTGCAGCTTCTGAACAGTCTAATGTTCAGCTGTTTGTGATCTAGATTTGAGCAGTATTTGACAGCACTTCTCCACAGCTTGAAGCTGAAATTTCTGCACATTTTGTGCTGACCAAAACTGTAAAGGAATTTTGGCTTCCTGCTTGCTTTGACAATAAAACTTTCTGCACTTTTGTGGCTACTCCGGGAAGTTAATAACTGTTCTATTCTGCATTGTTTAAAGTTTCTTGCAAACTGGTTTTTTGAGCTACAGTTTGGGACTCATTGATTTGGTTCTTGTATAGTTGCTTCAGTTGCATGACTTAGCTGAATGGTTTAAGAGTGCTCAGACACTACACAATTGGTTTGCTCATATGATTTCCAAATTTTCCCAAATGTTCTTAGGTTCTTCTCCTTCTGAATCTGAGTATCTCAGTGGAGTGATGAGATATCTGGCAGTGAACATTTAGCTTTCGAGTTAAGATCTTCCTTTCATGTGGTGCTCCACATGTCGTGCAAATGCCCTCATCCTGAGTTCTCAATCTGTGGTCTTCTTTTAGCAATTCTAATCCTTAGATTAGGAGTTTGACTTGTCGAGGTTTAGTAGCTCCTTCCACCACTAGAAATCTGTGAGAAAGAATGAAATTCATTTGTTCCTGCAAAAGAAAATGCACTGGTAGCTATAAAATCTACACTGTTAGCTATAACATTAGTCTTCTATTTCAGCACTTCATGTATATACTTTATCCTTTAACACAATTATTTTATAATTTCAGGTCATACAGTCTGATGTTCGATAATTTAGCGGTTGGAAGATTTCAAAATGATGAAAAGTTGCGGAAATCATTTGAAGACCATCATTCTGGATTATTACAATGATGACATTGCTATTTAGTCCAAACAATATATTTTTATGTTTTAAGTTACTGTGATATTAATATTTTTGATTACTACTTTCTTTTGTTTGTTAAGATTTTATGAGATATATTATGTTTTTTTAATTAATATTAATATATTTTATTATTTGGGTCATATTCTATTCAAATGTAGTAACTATATATTATTAATTGTGGCCAAATTATTGCTATTATCGCTTATGACTTTTAAAGCTATTGATTATTAGCGGTAATTTAGTTAAACATATTAGCTATTAAAATGGACTTTAAAGGGCAAACTAAGATGTTTTAAGAAGGGATAGTATTGCCTTTTTAATTACAACATAATAATTGTCGTTAAAGATGCGAACTTTTAGCGACAATCATTTTGAATTTAGCGGCTATAAAAATGGATGGTAAAAAAGTATAATTAGCCGTTTGGATTGGATTTAGTAGCCCTTATAATTACCACAAACAATTGCCGTTAGAGATGCGAGCTTTTAGCGGCAATTATTTTGAAGTTAGCGACTATAAAAATGGAAGGTAAAGAAGTATAATTAGCCGTTTGGATTGGATTTAGTAGCCACTATAATTGCCTCAAACAATTGCCGTTAGAGATGCAAACCTTTAGCGACAATTAGTTTGAATTTAGCGGCTATAAAATAGATGCTAAAGAGGTATAGTTGGCCGTTTGGATTGGATTTAGTAGCCATTATAATTGCCGCAAATAATTGCCATTAATGATAATAATTTTTAGCGGCAATAAACCATACCCTTTGCCAGCTTTTGCGAGAAAAGCCGCTAAAGGCTTTGCCGACCCCAACATCAGCGGCAAAACTGTAATGGCTGGTAAAAGATTTAGCGGCTATTGTTATTGCCGCTAAAGCCGTTTTGTATTGCCGCTAAAGGTCTTTTTTGTAGTAGTAATATAGCCCGAGGGCCTGGTATTGTTCTGTGATATTGCCCGAGGGGCTGATTCTATTGTTGTTACTGAGCCCGAGGAGCAGTTATTATGTGTTTACTTTTTAGTTGTTTTTCCTGTATATTGTTTAACTATTTAAAGGATGTTTATGCGATTTCAATGCTTAATTATATTTACGGATTTTGCTATGCCTCTTTTAGCTTAATGTTGTGCCTTACGTGGTCTTATATTACTTAGTCTTTATTTATTTTTATTACTCATTGAGTTGGAGTACTCACTTTACTCCCTGCACCCCCGTGTGCAGATTCGGGCGCTACAGGTCCTGCTCCTGAGGGTTGATAGTTCCAGCAGGTCTTCGGAGATTTACTAGGTAGCTGCTTGGCGATTCGCATCCTAGTGCATTCTCACTCTATCTTAGTTTCTTTGATTCAGTTATGTAGGAGTGGAGTAGACTTCAGACTTTTATTTTTGTTTTAGATGCTCATGACTGGTGACACCCCTATGTCGGGCTGTGTTGGTTTTATTTCCGCAGCTCATACTGTTATTTTAGGATTTTATTCCTATTAAAGACTTGAGTTTTATTATATCAACTGCTTAAAGTGAACTGGAAGTGTGTCGGCTGGTCTTGTCTTCACGAGAGGCACCATCACGATCGGATTTGGGTTTAGGGTCGTGACAAACCCAAATGTTGAATTCAAAGCTGCGAAGCTTTTTAATGGTTGTCAATGGAGATCTCTTTTCTATTTTGTGTGAAGAGGATGAGATTTGGGTTGATTTGTATGAAAGAGAGAAATATTTCAAAATCTTTTTGAAAATGGGATGAAAACATGATTTTAGGGGCTTTGTATAACTGATATACATGAGAGTGAGAGGGGGCTGACGTGGGGAGGGGGAAGGGAAGGGTTGTATCAGTTACATCCTAATTTTAAGGATGCTTCTCTTTATTAAGGTTTTGTATATAAATAGTATTTATAGATAGAGAATATAATTTTTAAGGAACCTAAAGAAAAATGGTAAATAAATTTCTATAATAGTATAGCTAGGTTCTCACCCTTTATTATTATTAAATAATTTAATTTTATCTTTTATCCTACCTTTTTTTATAATAATTCTACCACGTATTTTTTAATAATATTTCAAGTTTATTTTTCATATTGATGGTGCATGATATTATGTAATGACAATAAACAATACAACATATACAAATATAATATTTATCAAACGATACGATACAATAAAGTACGATAGAATATGAAACTATATGTAACAACCAAAATGAAAATAAATTCGGGGATGGTATTGATATAACATAAAAAAGAAATTGAAAATACCAAATAAACACCACGATATATAAAACCTACCCACACAACATCACACGCCTTCGTAACTATACACAAACTGCAAAAACCGCCTCTTTTCACTTCACAGCAGCCTGCAGCCAAGCAGCGAAGCCATGGGGAAAAGTGACGATTCAATTCAGAGAAGGAAGAATAAGAAGACCAGAAAGAAACAAGATGATAATAAGCTCTCCGCTCGTATCTCCGGCATTATTGCTGCCAAGAAACGTCGTCTCTCCGGCAAACGCCGTATGTGCGAGGTCATTTCTTTTCTCATTAATTTAAACCTTTTTCTTTCTTGGGTTCTTTAATATCTTGATTTAGTTACATTAAATATACAACTAAAGAGGAAGATTTAGGTTATAGTAACTTCTAGGAGTAATGGAGGTTTAAGGAAGTGGGTATCCTTTTAATTTAAGTAAAGATAGTTTTTATTTTATTGTTTAGGGGCCGAGGAATGTTGTGGATTTGGTTTACTTAGTCGGATTATGTTGGTGATATATCTATATGGAAGCGCATTGGTTTGATTCTTGAGTAATTATCTTTCCCAATAACTGTTTGTTCATGTTGATTCGTGATCAGTTACCATCAAATTTTTGCACTTCTTTTGTTTGTGATATTGCTCAAGAGGCATATGCAAGATTTAGAATAAGTGGTATTGGATTGGGTCTAGCATATGTATACTGTATACATGGTCAAAACTGAAACCAATGGGTTATGTTGAACTCGTTGTGTAGGGCCATTGTGTTTATAACTTTCTCTGATTGATTTATTGGCCTAATGGTGCTAATTTATGTGGTGTTAATTTTGCTCTTTTTCTTACTTATCCATTGACAGGGAATGTGTTATAGTCTGCCTACACCCGAGGATCCCTTCAACGAGAGGCATGGAAAACCTGATTTTGTGAAGAAAAAGAAAAAGCAGATCAATTCAAAAAAGGACAAGAATCGTGTTAACAAGACTAGGGTCGCTCTGAAAACCGGAGCTACCGATCGTAATAACGCAAAGGCGACGGCTGCAAATAAGATATCACAAAATGCTGACAAGTTAGAGGAAGAGCTCCGCACGGCTGCTGCTGGGGGACGAGATGCTTTTGATAATCACATGGATGCTCCAACTAAGTTTTTAATTCTATGCTTGAAAAACATTCAGGACGGGCTTCAGCAAGATGGAACCTTCAATGATGGAGAGGACAAGCCTTTCTTCGTCCATACATGGGGAATTGAGTTCTGGAAATATTTTACTCGTGGCAAAGATATAATTGGTACAAATCAAGCCCATGCTACAGTTGAGCAAATTGCTTGGGTTGCAGCAACGGCTGCTGATGCCATTTCAAGCAAGGAGAAAGAAGGGATATCAATTAGCAGCCCGTTCCTTTTATTCCTTGTTCCCTCTCAAGAGAAAGCTGCTAAGGTCTGGTGCAATATTATTCAAATTTCCGTTGCTCTACTATTCGTAATATGTTTAGGATATTGTTCTGAAACTAGAGATATTTGATAAATTTGATTTCTGATGGCTGCGAAGTAGCTATTTTCTTAAGTTAGTTGGACTTTTAGAGCAAGTAATTAAGCTGAAAGTCTTGACTATTGGATAGAAGGTCCTTAGAAAATCTTGGATTGGACATAATTGCTTTACAAATCTCCTACTTCTTTTCTGCAAAACGATAAAGGTTCATTACCCAGCGCGTGTATCCTTCTCTTTCTGTATATGTTGTCTGTGTATATATTATATGTCCATACATATGCTTTAAGTTTACTTGATAAATTTTTATGTAGGTATCTATATGTATCTTTGTGTGTCTTTTTTGTCTTATTCAGCGTTTTAATTTTTCCTTAGGTGCGGAAAATATGCAAGCCTTTGAAAGCTCTTGGAATACATACAGTGAGTCTGCATCCTGGTGCTTCCATAGACCACCAGATTCAGGGGTACTATTTCCTTGTTTCCCTCCTTTATCTTCCCTCCCTCTTTCTCTCTTTTTTTAGTTAATATTTTGTAACTTCTCTAAATTTGAAGTTATTAGCTTCTCGAAGTTGATTTATTTGTGTATTGCTTGAAAGATGTAAGTGATATTTTTTTCAGAACCTTAGAATTATAGCTAACATTTCTCTGCTTTGCAGTGATTTGTTCTGATAGTATTAAGATCTAGTCATCGTTATGGTTCATAAATAACTGCACTGATGTGTCATTAGCCCTCATAGCAACAACTTCTGGTTGTGTGACTTTACATGTGGCTACGTGTTTCTACTTTCTTGAGCCGGTCATGTATTTTATTGGCTTAGTGGTCTTTGTTTGACCTGTGAAAGTAAGTTCTCTTCGCTTTTAAGTTTATCTTCCTTGCTGATATTGGATTGTCTCCAATTGCAATTAGTATCAGTAACGTACTGCTTTGCTTCCATGCATTCCTTCTATTCCCATTTGCTGAGTTTTGCACTTGTGTGCCATCTGTTTTCTTTTGAATAAATTCGCTCTTCCTTGTTTTATATGATTACACTTTATTGTTGGCAGCCTGAAAAACTGTGAGCCGGAGTTTCTTATATCCACTCCTGAAAGACTTCAAGAGCTCCTCTCCTGTGGTGCCATTGATACTTCTGATGTTTCTTTCCTGGTGAGTATCTTGCATTTAACTTATTTTTCAGATGTAGGTAGCAATTGTGAAAGCTAGAAACGAGATCACTGTGCTATCTAGTTAACGCACGAACTTCTCTTCTTTTTTTTTTTTTTTTTTTAATTTCCACACCGCCCCCTATATATTTGATACCTTCTAATACAATGAAACTAATTATCCTAACCCCGTTAGTCATTCTTTCAATTACTTGTCGATAAAAAAATTGAGTAAATTCAGCTAATCCTCTTGTCCCACCAACTAAGAATCTTCTATAAAAAGCATCTATGTCAGCACGATTATATTTTTATTTAGTCATTTTTCTTTTTCAAGTTTTAGCAAAACCTGGTTAGAGTGGCTAGCAATTTTCTCATTGTCTTCTCCATGAGGGAAAAAGGAGAAACGATTTATTCTAGCTTCAAGAAAGCAAAAGGAATTGCAATAACAAGACAGAAGAAAAGCAGGGAAGTAAACACCTTGCACAAGAAGCACAAACTGGCACAGAACTAAAATAGAACGTGTCTGGATATGAAAACACGGTTTGGAGAAGGTTTTCCCTGAAAATAGCGGTATGAGATATGGGACGTGATGGATCTCGCACCATAGACTCTCCCCTCTTGTCCTTGGTCGAATTGTAATGAAGTTCAAAAGAAAGACAGAAAGTGACGAGAGAGATGAACAGAGAAGAGAAATAAATATGGTCAAGGAAAAGTGAGAGGTTGTAGCTGATGGGATGGGACTGGAGGCGGGTCTTATTAACTCGAAACTTTTTTTGTTTAAGGTCTCATTAGGTGAAGTAATATGCTCCAATGTTTCAAGTTTGTGTTGAAAATGTGGAAGCATCTATAAGCTGGTCTCCAGTTTACACTAATTGATTTTCCGTTTTTAGTGGGAGGAGATGGAAAATTTTGAATTTTTTTCTGAACCAACACTAATCAGATTTCTCACAGAGATTTGGCTTTTATGCAACATACTAAGATTTAAGGGCCTCTTTGGTTTGGTGTGCCTGCCTGAATATTTGAGTTTTCCTTTTTAATTTGAAGTTATTAATTATGATCTCTGAGATAGAGATGTAAGATGAATATATATATGGCATTCGTATCTCTAGCATTACATGTTATCCCGTTTGAAGATACTCATACCAGTCTTTGTATTTCAGGTCATTGATGGACCTCTTAATGAAGCTGGTTATGTTGATGCGGTTGAAGCCATTGCAAAATCTATTTCTGGAAAGCCACAAATACTGGCTTTCAGTGACTGCTCAGATTCTTCATCCAATTTTCTTATAAAGAAGAGTTTTGGAGCATCAATCTGTAGAATACCGCATGATGATCCAATAAATGGTCAAAGCATGGCTTTAGATATTTGCGCTTCTAAGTTGTCAAAGGTATGTCTTTATTGGTTAAAACTTTAGTCTTGCACTTCCCATTATAGATTGGAAGAGATATTAATTAGCTAGGTGCATCTGCTGCATCAGTCAGTTAAGATATGTGTTTTAGCTCAACCAAAAATAATGGGAAAGTTGTTTACCTGGAATTCTTCAATATATGTTGTTGCTTTGGTTTGTTTAATCTTGCAACTTGTCTTGTTTTCACTCTATTTATCGTGATCTTTGTGTGCAACAAGTTCTCTACTTACGATCTCTAACTTAATGAGAGTAGTAACTTTATAGACCTGTATGCCCATCTAACTTCAGAAAGTAGGGAAAATCAGAGTTTTCTCTCTATTGATCCCAGAGCTGCTTAATTTAGATGTCTTAATAAATGACTTATGATATCTATTCAATACGAGTTATAGTTGAACCTTAACAGAGGATAGCTGGTGAGATGAATGGGAACAAAAGAAAATAAGGGAAGGACAAAATGCAAAAAAAATAAAAATAAATAAATAAATGAAAAGAGAAGAAAATATAGTCAAGGTGGAAGTAGCTTGAGAGACTAGCGTAATCTATTTTAGAAACGTGCCTGGCAAGTAGAACATACAATATGCCACAGGATCGACGAAATAGGTATTTACCAGTTGTCTATTAAATCTTCCATACGTGCTCCTTTTTATGTTTTAACTTGTCATTAATATATAGACTGATATTTGCTTCTGACTTCATTCCACAGGCAAATGGAGCCTGCTCTCCAGACAGTTGATACTCCATTTTTTCTTCCAAAGATTTAATTGTTGCTCCGTCGAATCAGCATTTTCAGATCCTCTGGCATCATTCAGCTTAATAGGAGGAAGTTCTGTAATTGTAAGCTTCTTCTTTTCACATGATTCTTGGTTATAGATGTTTTCGAAATATCCAAATGGAGAGAATGCAGTTGTTTCAATGTTGTATTAGCCAGTGATGTGAGCCCAAGTCAATTGTAACAAGGGTGGGTGTGTTATTGCTTCTACTGGAGAATTGCAAGTTGAGATCTTTTGCTAGTTTCTGATATCATTTCTTTTTCCTTTTATTTGCTAGAGCTTGTTTTACAAGGGGAAAGGGAAAGTATTTATTTTACTTTGGAAAATCATTTTCTGGTTCATCTTCTAGCGTTTGGTTGAATAATAAATGTGTGATATAAATCTTTTTACAATATCTTTCTTTTTTTTAAAAATAACATTTTCTACCATTTATGTAATTATCATCATACTTTTAGTGGTCTTTGCTCTTCCCAGAGGATTTATGGTATTTTGCAAGGAAAGAGTTTGATATTAGAAAGTGCAAACTACCAATAAAAAATATGTATATTGGAAAGGTTGAACTAGTCAAATTTTAATTATTTTATATCAGTGATAAATTAGTCGACTCCCAGGTGGATACTAGACACCGAATAGGAAACTAGAAAATATCTGACCCGTTGTTGACCCAACTCAACAGGTCGAACATGAAATAATACATCAAATTATTGGATCAAAACATGTCAAAATAGCACAATCGGATGGTTAATATACAAACACAAACTCAAATATACAAATCAAATTGAAAATTTTGAATGACGTAAATAAACTAATAATTTAAGAAAATACAATAGCTTTCAGCCTTTCACATTTTCTGTTTTCATAAAACAACAACAAAAGAGGAGAACTTGGGTCTGATCACTCAACTATTCGAAATTATCTACTAAAATTATCTTTCTTTCGTTTGTAACACCAGTCACTTAACTATGTCTATAGCACTTAGAAGGTCACTCAACAGATTTCTTAAACCTTCAATCGCCGAATACCTATTTTACCTTCTAAATTATCAACTTTTATCTTCTTCTTTTTTTAGCTTTTTAATATTATAAGTTTTTTCTCTTTGTAATTTATATTATGGACTTACCTTAGAATAAATAAATTTTATTTATAAATTAAAAAAATAAAAATAGTATTTAACCATATATAATGTTGAAATAATAAAATATTGAGCGTAGTAGAAAGTTAATTAGAACGATTTGTTCGTAATAATAATTTTGATATTAACAACAAATACTCTAAAATTTATTTACACAATTGAGAATGAAAGAAAATAAAAGTTTTAAAATATATATTCCATGCACATACTATAGAAAATAAGTATTTAAAATAAAGGTATTTTTATAATATAATTCTTGATAATTATGCTCAATTATATTATTATTCCGTTATCATATATGCTAGAAAATAATTTCATTTTTTATTCTTAAATAAAATTTATTTGTTCTATAGATACATCCATAATGTTGATTAAAAAGAGAAAAATCTTAATATTAAAAAGTTATTTTAAAAAAAGGAACAAGAAGATAAAGTTGATAATTTAGAGGGTAAAATAGGTATTTGACAATCAAAAGTTTGAGAAATCTGGTTGAGCAACCTTCTGAGTGCTATGGCCATAGTTAAGCAAATTTTCTGTTATAAACGAAAGAAAAATAACCTTACAAGATAATTTCGAATAGTTGAGTAACCATTTACATAATGGATTCAGTGAATCGTTACCCATTTACTAATGAAGAATTAACCCAAACGGTCTATTTGCCACGTCTAATTACCACGATTTTTTCCCCTTCATGATATGCAATTAAATTGCATTTCCATTCCATCAGAACTGGCTTAGTGATGTGAATCATGCAGGAGAAAAAGTAGTAAAATGAATTACTACTTTTTTGCAAAGTAAAACTTGACTAATTGGACTGAAAAAAAAAAAAAAAAAAACTTTGGTGCAAAGGAGTCCCGTGACAAAATGTGGATTTGAATTACTCTCTTCTTTCCACAACTTTGCATGTACTATTATTAATCACACGTCTGCTACATATTCTCAAAAAAATTGGAGTTTGGCATTTAAATTATTTAAGAATTTGCGCTGTATTTTTCACATTTCCCAATTTGTAATTTTTGATATGTCAACTTTTCAACCAAAATACTTGCAGAAACGATGAAATTGATTAGAATAAATTTGATTTGTTTTTGGCTAAGCGCGGACAGTACTTAAATTAAATGAAATTGGAATTAATTGGTTGGTAAACATTCTCATCATCAAATATTTGGAGTAACCCATTATCATTTTTAATGGACCAAATAATTGTAAAAAGAAAGTAAAAATAGCATGGTCTAGCCAGTTTTCGGACTGGTCATTCAAAAATAGCCAGCGTTTACCAAGTCAATGAAAAATAGCCACTATTTTGCTGCAACAGAGACCGGTCCAGCATAATATACTGGAGTTCGGTGCACCTGTGTATGAACTTCCAGCATATTATGCTGGAACTCCAACACACGGAAAGTTCCAGCATAATATACTGGAGATTCGAGCACTTGTGTATGAACTTCCAGCGTATTATACTGGACCGATATACTTTGCTGGAACTCCAGTATATTATGCTAGAGTTCTAGTGTACTTATGCTGGAACTCCATCATATTATGCTGGAGTTCCAGCATATGGAACTCCAGTATAATATGCTGGAGTTCAAGTATACTTATGCTGGAACTCCAGCATAATATACTGGCGTATTTTTCGGGTTTTGAATAGTGTTTTCGCTCAGATTTATCTTTACATGAAAAGTGACTACATTTCGATTACTTTTGAAACTGGGCTATTTTTGAACGACCACTTGTAAATCTGGCTATTTTTTAATTTCACCGAAAAAGAAATAGAGACATTAAACATAAGATTCAACTTGCATATCGTGCCAGAGGCGGAGCCACAATGCTCTTACGACAGTAACTTTGATTCAAATCATGTATTTGTCTTAATTTATTTATTAAATATATTGCAATAACATTGTTGTTTTTTCCACTTAATTTGGTTATATATTTCTTGTTAATATCGTATAGTAGTGTTGTCCCTGTATATTTTTTTTAATTTGCTTAGTGTTATGAAACAATAAAAGAAAAAAAAGCGTATTGCAGAGAAAAGTAGAAAGACAAAATTCTTATTGATTTGGGATGAATTACAATGGAATAGAAAATCCTATATTTATAGGGGAAAAGTGACTTAACCGCCAAGTAACAAACCCTAAAATATCTCTAAATATAGACATTCACCTTAAATACATTTCTATTTATAACACTCCCCTTGAATGTCTATTCAACAGATAATGTGCCTTGTTAAAACCTTAACTAAAATAAAACCCAGTGAAAAAAAAAATCTAGAGAAGGAAAAAGAGTACACATATCTAACAATACGCCTTTTGGTTGCCTCATTAAAACCTTGCAAGAAAAACCCAGTGGGACAAAATCTTGTAAGGGAAAAAGAGTACAACGCGTATTAACTCCCTAGATGAGAGCATCAATTCACATCTTTAGGCCTTTGCATTCCAATCTTATATACCATTTTTAAAAGATTATTGGTAGAGATTTAACAAACAAATCAACCATATTAACTTGAATGAATATGTTGCACCTTGAAATCATCATTCTTGATAGATGTGTAATGTCTTCATATAATGTCGTGGAATGACCTTTTCAATATCTATAGATGTAAAAATTCTCGCTATCACATTATCATGCTTATACTTATAGCAAGATACATATGTGCACAAATTGCACTTAGGATGTGGTACTTCAGGACCAAGAATTGTATATGCTTTAAGCAATTTAAATCCTTCAGGGATGGTCATATAAGTTAAGTCAAATAAGCCATTTAAATGGACTTTAGATGCATATCAGGTTTTTATGTCATGCTAGACAAATAAGATATCAAAAACTTATTGCACATATCATTGACTTTATACTTTCAAGTGTTTGAACTGCAGGTCCAAAACTACATGTCTTTCATATGAAACCAAATTCTACTTGAATTGTTTCTCCAGACTTAAGATCCTCAAATATATTTAGCGCTATTATAGATGTCGTCGACAAACATTTTATATCGGTTCCAACCTCCTTATTTTTTCATAAAGACATAACATAGAGATCCCTTCATTCATATATTCAGGCACCTGAATCTCTCATGAGATTTTATAAAGTGTTATGTCATGTGATCTCCTAGATCACTTGCCTCCTTTATTATGATTATTTTGATCATTTGCTCATCTTCTTTATCAAGGAGTTTATTTGAAATCGATTTGTCTATACGTTTAAGCATGCCATAGACTTTGTTCTTCTAGGACTTATTAGGAGCATTTGCAATGAGAATATAGTTACTTTCTTTGGGTCAGCAAATGCGTCTGGCATGCTTTGTAATATATTGCACATGAATTATCTTTTTATGAACTTCAAGTTCATACTATCTTATTCGAGGATCTAGATGTACAAATGATAATTCATTCCACATAACTTTTTCTCAACTATTTATCATGTCTCCCCCTCATGTTGGAAAAACTAACTTGTTTTCTCAACTTTGAGAACCCATCTTTATGCGTTATGGTGTTAATCAAAATATACACCGCACATCAATAATAATAAGATAAAATTATTTGATTCCTGACCCTGAACTACTTGTGAGGGGAGAAAATAATATGCTTTCGTATATAACGTATATCAAACTGATACAGATAACTTTGTTCTCATAAGCAATAGTTTAACTATTAAGTAGAGGCACTCAATAAATCATCTTGCTAAACCATTTGTGATGTAAACCAACTTATCAAGATAAGCTATCTTGAATAGAAAATCTGGAAATTATGCTCTAAATTAAATTATTGAGCAAGTTACCTCGCAAACACCAGGTTGCAGGTTAATAATAATCGCACCTGTAACCATCTCATAGATGCATCTTATGTGGTATACATGGCAGATGAATGGGCCCATATTCACCTTTGATATTTGCAGCATTCATGGGATTCAATCCCAATTTTAGTTGGTCTATTAATTAATAAGAACAAGCAATGTAAGAGAATTCGTAAAGAACTTTCTAGTTCTTTAATATTTACCCATGTGAATTCTCTTTTATTTTTGCACATTATACTTAAATTATCATGGCTAAACCAATTATGCCAACTGAATAAATTATCAATATTGATAAAGTTCAGGTTTACACCATGACGTGTGCAATTATCGATAAACTCCAAGTTTATTATGATATAGATTTTAATATCAATAAACACCCACTGTATTGTGGAATTCTTTTATTTATGTAGTACAAATTGGAGAATAA